TAAATTCTGTTAATACTGCCATATTGCTATATTTATATTTCATTGATAATTCTGTCTATGTTGTCGTACCTACACTGTCAGACTGTTGTTTCTGTTTACACCGTTAATTCTGTTCATACCGCTATATTTGCCATATTTATACTTTTTATAACTTCTAGATTTGCCTCTGTCTTTTATATTTACTTTATATCTTTTACTTACTTATATTTTATATTTCATGTTTAATGCTGTTTGCACCGCGGATAAGAGGGAAACGCAATTTCGATTCTCCGTATGTCCTGCACATATGGCATTATTGATAATAAAGTTGACTTGACTTGATATCCACTGTAACTTCCACAGGAGAATGCCAAGGAATGTGGCGGAGCGTCGGCCATCTCCCTGTCCTCTTGTCTTTTCTCTGCCTCTGTGCTCGTCTCATTGGTCCTCTACCACTGGACGTAAACCAGGGCTAACCCACCAATGAGGATGCTCAAAGGGGAGCCGGAGCGAACACAGACACTGAACACAGAGCCAAAGGATGTGTTTTTTTAAATACCTGCCACAAGAGACAATGGACTATCTCCGATTCCTCCCCACTGCTCAGATATGCATCAGTTCACTCTGCAGTGGAGATAAAGGGCTATGAGATTTATTTTTTTTAAACGGACTCATTTGTCAGTTTGGAATAAGTCAAACTGAAGAAGGAACTAAGCTCTGAGGCGGCTCGGAGCTGCAGGAGCATCAGGAGTCATCACTCTGAACAGACTCTTGAAGGAACCTGGAGTTTGAACAGTGCAGCTTGTGTTTGGAGAAATGTTGCCATTACTTACAAGAATGTAGCTTTTTGATACAGAAATATTGTATAAAAGTAGAGTTTTACATTCAAATGATTTACCAAAAATGGAAGAATCTGATGGTGATGGCATGTGTTGTGGTGTGTAATTCAATGTGAGGGGCAGGAGGTTGATGCCTACAATACATAGCAGCTGGTTTTTAGAGGAACAGAGAGCTTAAAATATGATACAGCTTTTTTTAAATTTCCACCAACACTTATTTTACGTGTCTCATATTTTACATATGATGGGACACATGATATTGTATTGATATAGTCATTTTAATAAGTAATCAGAAAACTTCCCGGGAATCTCTGATTTGCTGATTTTCAGGTGAAAGATATAATTATATAATGTCTGGTGTTTAAAGAGAGGCCCATGTGGTATAGGTTTGATATTATTGGTTTGGTTTTTGAATATGTCAGAAACTTTACCACAAAATGCAGCGAACACAAGAACTTTTTATATGTTTCAACATTTAAACAACTAAACTTCATTGGTTTTCAACAAGTTCCTGTGTAATCACCAGTTATACGTATGTCACTTACATGTATAAAACATGTTTTCACTGCATTCAAGACGTCCGATGACCTGTTATTTAAAACAGATCTATTTTAGTTGAATTACCCGACACATTAAACATGACTCAGGTATGAGAGAAAATCTAATGGGTTGTAGTTCTGGATTCTTAATAAATTTTTCATTGTTTGCTTCTACCTGTTGGTATATTTGTTTTTCTTTCACTTTACTTCAAGTGGATGGAAATTTCAAAATGTGTTGACATCCAATCATTCAAGATCTGTAACATATGGTCCCAGTTCCCATTCTGTTCCATTCTGAGCTGATTTATACTATTGCCAAACAAGGTGTTTTGTCAGTGAAGATGACCTTCAAACCTTTGGACATAAAACTTAAATCTTTTAATTTTAAGCCATTTATCTGTGCATTTCCTGTATTCAGCAAAGTAATTATGTTCTATTATACTCACAGTGAGTTAAATAGAATCCTACAGGAGTGAGTTATGAAAAAAATGTCACAGTATGAGTCACACATCAGTTTATTCAGTTAGAAAGGCCATAGTTTAAATTATTTCTTATTCTTTGTAATTTTCCATGTTAAAGTGTTGTATGTTATACAGTTATATATGTGTGTATATATCTATATCTATATATATATATATATTTGGTAGAATTCATGAAAATCTAATTCAGGTTCAGGCATTTATATGACCTGATATAGTGAGTTAAAAAAATTAAACTCACTTTATTGTTGTAAAAATGTCATAGTACTGAGTCATTAAATTGTTATATATAAGAAAATGTCCAAAATATTGTAAAATATCAGTTCAGGTCAAACACAGTACAGCAGTTGTTCCAGTTCCCAAGAAGCCGACTCCATCTGGCCTCACTGACTACCGAAGGTTCTGGAGAGGCTGGTCCTGGCCCACCGCAGACCACAGGTGAAATCATCACTGGACCCTCTTCAGTTCGTCTGCCAGCCTGATCTGGGAGTGGATGATGCAATTATCTACCTGCTGCAGCGAGCCCACTCACATCTGGACCAGGCTGCTCGCACAGTGAGAATCACTTTCTTTCATTTTACCAGAGCGTTCAACACCATCCAGCCAGTTCTTATGAGGCAGACGCTGCAAGCTATGGGGTGAGACACATCCACTGTCTCCTGGATTACTGACAATCTGACAGACAGACCTCAGTTTGTCTGTCTGATGTGATGGTGAGTACTACAGGAGCTCCGCAGGGGTCTGTACTGTCGCCCTTCCTCTAAACGCTGTACACCTCCTACCTAACTCCGAGTGATGGGAGCGAGGGTGAGTACAGAGCGCTGGTGGATGGTTTTGTAGAGAGGGCCAGGAAAAATCATCTGCTTCTGAATGTGGTGACATCCAGGGAGATGGTGGTCGACTTCAGGAGGAAGAGGACGGTTTCACAGCCACTGTGCATTCTGGGAGAGGATGTTGTGACAGTTAAGGATTACAAATACCTGGGCGTCCACATCGACAACGGACTGAAGTGGAAAACCAACATCAGTGCTGTCTACAAGAAAGGAATGAGCAGACTCTATTTCCTGAGGAAGCTGAGATCTTTCAACATGTGCCGCAAGTTGTTGGAAATATTCTATCAGTCTGTTGTTGCCAGTGTTCTGTACTTTGCTGTGGTCTGTGGGGGGGGCAGCATCGGAGCCGGTGGCACCAACAGACTGAAGAAGCTGATTAAGAAGGCTGGCTCCGTTATTGGCTGCAAACCGGACACTTTTGAAGAGGTGGTGGAGAGGAGGGCGCTGAATAAGCAGTTATCCAGCAATAAGACTGTACAACTCCCACCTCTGATGGTACTTAATAGTAATTACTGCTGCAATAACTGTCCATTTATTTTGCTCATATTATATTCATTATTACATAAAGTCATATTTATTATTTTAGTCATGTCAAGTACTGCAATTTTGCACCTTGTCTTTTGTGTCTTACTCTCTGAATGTTGAACTGCTGCTGTGACACAACAATTTCCCAACTGGGATCAATAAAGTTCATCTATTTGTCTATCTAGAGGTGAAGTGAGTTATAGTTCGGTAAATCATAACTATGTCATAATATAGTAAAATAAATAAAGTAAATGTCATTGTAAACGTTGTCATAAAAAGGTCATGGCACAGTTACTTTGGCAAATATCATACTGCAACAAGTCTTACAATTATCACAATACAGTAAGTTGTAAAAATGTAAATACAGTAATGGAAGTCATTGTACGTCATACAAATGCTGCAGTATAGTATGTCATGTCACATGTGCCTGGAGTGTTTGATTGATGTTAGAATTGGTCAAGCGCTTTGAGTGGTCAAGACTAGAAAAGCATTATACAGATGTCATGATAGTGTTTAAAGATGTCATAGTAAGTTGTAACTAGAATTACTGCACTGCGGTTGCATGATTCAACCAGTGCAGTTTCTGCTTTGGAATGAAATACAAGCTCAAGTGAATGTTTGAGCCAAATGTGAAAGAATTCCCTCAAGGTGTTTGAGATATATATTTTTAAATATAAGTCACAGTGACCTTGACCTTTGGCCACCTAAGTCCAATCAGTTCATCCAAGTGAATATTTGAACCAAATTTAAGGAAATTCCTTCAAAGCATTCTTGAGATATCGTGTTCACAAGAATGGGATGGACGGACAACCAGAAAACGTAATACCTCTGGTCACTGGCTGTCAACGGCGCAGAGACATAAAAATGTTACAGTGTAGCGTTACCAACGCCCGCTCTGAGAAGACAACACAAAAAGTGGAACACGTGCCAAGGTTAAATATAACAAAGGGATTTAATTCAACAGAAAGTCATTTTGGTTGACACAAGTTATTCTACTAATCACAGACCTCAGATCTTTAACACAGTTCATGCACGAGAGGGTGTGACTGAATCAGACTCTGGGAAAATATTTTTTTTCCTTTAATAATCTTGATTAGGTATTGAACACTTCAGTTAATACAAGACTTTACAGCTGTTTATTGTCAGAATGTACACGTGTCAGCCACACCCTCCTGCAGATGAACAGTGAGATCACCCCCTGCTGGACAGGTGTAGTAATGACAAAGATGACAATACATTCAAAAGTAGAAGAAATACCCCATAGACACTTTTATCGATAATACTTGTGCTTTGGGCCTTGATCTCGGTTACTTCTGCTTCAACCAAATATTTCCTCCACTTCCCAGAATGCCTACTGATAGAAGAATTTTAACACCTTGAATTTAGTTAAACATCATGGAAAGATTTTTCATGTGGGTTTTTCCTCCCGTAATTTTCATCTTAAATCTCCAGATGAAACTAAGTGGCTGCATTTAGATACTGAACTCTATCAATTCATGTTTCAGTGACTAGGTTTCAGATTGTCTTAAAACATCTGTGAAATAAGAAGTACTTAAATTTGACCTGAAAGCAAATCAAATTTCACACATCTCTACACATTTAGGAGAAACTCTTAAGTAATAAAAGGCTCAAGTTTCTAAATGCAGTGTTTAGAGTTTCCTCTGGAGTATTATAGAGGCAGACATCAGGCTGAGAAGAGAAGTGTAACTGGTTTTACTCTCTTCAAGGGAAATGTTGTAAAAACACAAAAAACAAATACAGTAAGCCTTTTACTGTGATAGAGAAAGCAGTCATTGTGTCTAAAGATGGTAAAAGTGGATTTTGTTTTCAGTGTTTTTTGGGGGAGTTTGTTTCAACAGCAAATGTTCCAGCATAAATTCTTCAGCAAGCACCGAAAAATGAAAGCTGTTATTCACTGATGTGATGTAGCAGCTTCCTGTCGAGTCATTATCACACAGAATTTATACAAACATTTACACATCATTTTACAGCATCGAGGTGTTTCTGTAGAAAATACATCCAAACTGACCTGAACACTGAAACATGTCAGTGTTATGACTTAACACAAGAAAACCTGTGCACCAACTTTGAAATGTTGTAAAAACAACTGTCTGAAACAAAAAATGAAAATAAATAAAAACCTCAAATCAATTCACTAAATATTTAACCTGTAAAAAGGTTTTGAAATTAGCTGCAGAAAGTTAAACTTGAGCTCTTCCCTCATTACCAGTTAGGCAGACGTCAGTCAATGAGCACAACTGCCATGGTGAAATAAATAAAAAGATATAATCAGTCCGTTGTCACACTGTAAATATAATTAATTTACAGTCCTTTCAGGAAGATTAAAATCTGTTCTTGGATGGTTTCCTGTTTGATGAGTGTGTTAAGGCATTCTGGAGCAAATTCAAGTCCAAACAATGAAATATGTCATTTCTAAGCTTAAATATATTTTTACCCCTTCCTTCATTTTTAACAGGAAAAAAAACTGAATATACTCTCACGATGGCTAGAATGTAAAATCTAAGCAAACAGTCTGTTGAGGGGACACTCTGGATGAAGCCGTGAACTTGCTGCTCTGAGGGATTAGAGCTGTTAATTTGAGGGTTTGAATTATTACTTACTCGTTTATGAAATAATCACCTCTCAGACTCCCAAGTAAATCCACACCAAGTTGAGTTTGTGCAGCTGGGATGAAAAACGACTTCCTGCTCTACACAGCGTGCTGTTTATCCTGAGCCGGGCTCGTGTCTTCGGCCTCCCCTCCTCTGTCCTGGTTCCAGTCTCGGAGGCCCTCGGGCAAGCTTGTGTCCTCCTCAAAGCTCCCAGTCCCCTCCACAAACTCCTCGTACGTTGACTTCTCTTCAAATGGCCGCGGGCCCAGGAGCTCCAACATGTCCCCCTTGTCTAGAACCTCTTTCTCCAGGAGACGCTTCCCCACCTGACGACAAAAACCAGGAATGAATGTTGCGTTTCTTTGTCAAAAAAAGTAGCTTTTCCATGTAACCATTAGAATCACACAGGGTAGACTTTTTTATGTGGTTTCTAGGTGCTTAAATTTTACCAGAAAATCTATTGTAATTTGTAAGGCACTCTTCAATACAAGTAAAAAGTGCTTTAACAATATAAAACTCAAAATCAGAATTAAAAAAGCAATGATTACATTAAAGATTCAGATAATAATAGCAATAGACATCACGTGATAAAAGCTTTTTTATAAAAATGTGTCTTAAGAAGTGAGAGAAAACTGGTAACTCAAGTTGAAATAAAACATTGATGATGTGTGTGGACAAATGAGGCTGTATCTGGACATCATCGCAGGAAACAGCAATGTGTACAGTACGATCAGAGATAAAGAGAGAGATAAAGAGTTCTTCTATATTTTGCTTAAGAACTGTTAGAAATGAAGTGAATGCAGAGCCTGGCCATTACAGAAGATATTAACCTATTGTTCACTACAAATATTACAACAAAGGAAAACATGGAAATATTACATTACATGTCATTTGGCAGACACTTTTATCTAAAGCGACTTACAATTAGTGCAGTCAACACCTATGAGGGGCCATTTTGGGGTTCAGTATCTTGCCCAAGGACACTTCTGCATGCAGATGGGGAAGACTGAGGATCGAACGGCTGACCTTCTGGTTTGAGGAGAACCACTTTACCCCTGAGCCACAGCCGCCCATACTTAAATATCTCAAAACATGTCGATCCTGAAGCTCTTGTGTGTTTCTGTGTATTAAATGTATTCTCCTTATTTGTACTTGGCCTGCGTGGTGGCTTTTTGAATCTGAACAATCTTGTTATTTTGAATATAAATGATACAAATCCCACTGCTATTATAATACTACAACACCAGTATTAGCAGGTGTTGTATCAGAGATTCTCACCATCTCTACCAGGTCCTTCTTTTCCAGAATGAGCTGCATGGTGCGCTCGTAAGCTCGATCCACCAGCCCTCGAACCTCCTCATCGATCAGCTCGGCTGTTGCCTCGCTGTACGGTTTCTCCAGGACCATCTCACCCTGCCGGGGAAGATCGAATGACACCTGCCCCACCTTGTCGCTCATCCCAAACTGCACCACCTGAGGAGCACAGAGACGAAAACAAGACGTCATAGCAGGAAAAACGTCGGGAGCCCAACAGACCTCAGGAGCCCAACAGACCCTGCAGGTGTGTGCCATGTACCTGAGCGTAGGCAGACTGCGTGATCTTCTTCAGGTCGTCCTGAGCGCCGGTGGTGATCCGGCCGAAGAACACCTGCTCGGCCACACGACCTCCCAGCATCATGCACATCCTGTCAAAGAGCTGCTCTCTGCTGTACAGGTACTGCTCCCTGGGCAGGTACTGAGCGTAACCCAGACCCTTCCCCCGCGGAATAATCGACACCTGGACATGAACAGAAACGTTTGTGCGGGACATTTTGGTTCTTCAGAGCACCAGTAACATTCTGACATGTGACAGACGCAGCAGTAACACATCACTAGTACCAGGATTTTTTTTCATCATGAGCAGTTTCACTTTAATGTGACTTAAAGGTTCAGTGTGTGTGATAAGGCTGTAAAAAAAAAACATGCTGGCCTCCGCAGAGAGGACCCACTCCCAATGTTAATATTAAGTATGTATATATAAAGGGCCCATTCTAGGGTGAAGCTAATGCGGTCATCTGATATATGAAATACTCCTTATATGTTCATTGTTACAGTTACAGTTACAAAACTATTGTCTCAGTCCGTAATTAATTCGATATTAAAATAACATTTTATACAGACAATTTTCTTTTCATAATTGCACAATGGAAATATTCAGATTGACCCACACTCAGCTTTGTTCATATATTCAGGCTTTTCATCACTACAAGAATCACTTTATTAGGTACACCTACCTAAAACAGACAGATGATTTAACTTTATGATTATTCTGAGAACACTAATACGAATGTACTAGTATTCTGTCTGTTACACAATACTATTCAACAGCAGCACTAACTACATTCTCCAGAATAATTCCTCAGAGTTTGAACACACACACCGGACATTCTAACCTTCATGAAGGAGGATTTACTGCTGGACCATTGTGTTAGCCTGCATTGCTTTCAGCTTTTCGTAACAACTCATGTGTAGGTGTGTTAGTATTGGTAAACTCTACCTTCAGCAGTGGGTCGGCGTGCTCCAGGAACCAGCCCACGATGGCATGGCCGGCCTCGTGATATGCCACAGTCTTCTTCTCTGTGGGCTGTAGGACCTGAGTCTTCTTTTCCAGACCTGGGGACAAACACAAAACCCAGGACTGAGACTCAGAGAAACATCAACTGTAATTTAACCACACTATCTACTGATGTTAGAGCTGTAATGACTCCTGGTGAACACTGTGCAATATGAAAGGTCGGTTAAAATAAATTTTGCAATATGAAGATAACTGGATCAGATTTATCAAATGTCAAACATGACACTAACCTCCGATGACTCTGTCAATGGCCTGTTCAAAGTGTTTGCCCTTGACGGATGTGTCCAGGTATCTTGCGGCAATCAGAGCCGCCTCATTGCAGACATTAGCGATGTCGGCTCCTGATTCATTCACAGGGAGAAATATATCCATCAACACACATCTTAAACAAAAGTCACAAGAAGGTGGTGGTGTTTTGTCATCACTTAATTTATCTGATTTATCTAGTTTGCATTTACAATTTAGTCTTAATCTTGCTCATTTATTGATATAATACTACTAATAATAATAATATTTTAAAAACTATTTCATGTTATTTTACCTTCTTGTTATTACATGTTTATTTCGTGTTGTCTGTTTTCATCCGTTTATGTGTCTGCAACTTGAGAATCATGATTCCATGCAATGAAAACATTTCTAATGAAATATCAAAGCTCGAAGCTGATGGCTCTCACTAAAAAACTTGATGTGATGGAAACATAAAATTGTGGTGGACTGTTACAGACCAGTGAATCCTGGTGTGGCAGCAGCCATCTTCCTGGCAAGATTGTCTTTGTCCAGGTTTGGATCCAGTTTGATTGGTAAAAGATGAACTTTAAAGATGGACGCCCTCCCCTTGATGTCTGGAGGACCTGAGACAGAAGAGAAAAGCCTCAGTCTCATACAAACACAAACACTCATTACTCAAAGTGCTGGTGATGTAATGCACATCATGATATGAGTATCAATTCAATATTTTGCAATATATTGTGATACTGTCAGCAAGGTGTCATAGTGCTAAGGTTGTTATCTAATTTTAGGAAAACAAGTGATTCCAGGTCAACTGCTAATAAAAGGAGAATCACAGTATCCCAAACTAAAACTCAAGACATTCAAAAGCACTGTTAAGAAGTTAAGACAAACCAGAAATAGACAAGTGATGTCAGCAGCTCAGTTAAGAAGCATTTTTCAAGTCTGTCCAGAATATGTATTTGTTGCCTAATGTACCGATGTAGATCTGTCTGTCGAAGCGCCCCGGCCTCATCAGAGCAGGATCCAGGATGTCAGGTCTGTTGGTTCCAGCTAGGACCACTACATTAGTAGCTGTGTTAAAACCTGCAAGTACATGAGATTCACATTTCAATGACCCCATCACACCTCTGAGTTGAAAACAAGAATCGGACTCAAGTTATTATTCAGCCTACCGTCCATCTCCACCAGCAGCTGGTTCAGAGTGTTCTCCTGTTCACTCTGACCACCAAAGTTCCCTCCTCCTCTCTTTCTCCCAACAGCATCGATCTCATCGATGAAGAGGATGCAGGGGGCGTTCTTCCTCGCCATGGCAAACATGTCCCTCACCTTCAGTGGAGAAAACTCAGTCAACCTTTCAGTTTTGTGAATAAACTGTATTTATATAGTGTTCTTTCTAGTCTTATCAACCAGATTGACCCATTCACACACACATTCACACAGTGCAACTATATGCTGCACTATCACACACAAGTCACACACTGCTGCCACGGTTCAGCTTTTAGGCTGGAGGGGCCAGGGATTAAACCCCTAACCTTCTAGTTAGTGGACGACCCGCTCTCATTCCTGAGTCAAACATGTTCAAACAATGTGATTCTCGGAATGGTAAAACATTTCAGGTGTTGTAGTGAGGCTATCGAATTTATTTTGAGGCAACATGAAACTGGGTTCATTTTTCTGTCTATCCATCCATTTTATCTCCTTCACTCACCCTGGCTGGACCAACGCCCACAAACATCTCCAGGAACTCAGAGCCATTGACAGTGATGAAGGGAACGTTGGCTTCTCCAGCTGTGGCTTTGGCCAGCAGAGTCTTCCCCGTCCCAGGAGGACCAGATAGCACAGCACCCTGGAATACCACACAAAACATGTCATTCATTACATGTCGTTTCACTCTTCTGCACAAACTAATTTACAACTTTAAAATAGCATTAGTCACCCAACAAGGAAAAAAACATTATCATTCATGTTTTGTTAAGTTAAAGTAGCAAGGGTTCCACTTGACCTTATAACAGAAAATGTTGATTGCACAATATAATGGCTCTAATGACCACCACATGACACATGTCTTGATTTACAGCACAAAGTAAGAGAATCTGCCACTAGACAATCTAAACGTGAAGAGGAGAGCCGTTTTGTTTTCTCCCGTATCTATCTCCAGTTTTCAGATGGAACAAGTCGCATTAATTGTAGAAACTCTATCTAGCAATGCAAAGGAGACTTATTTCCTGAGGAGGCAAAGAAGGAACTAGAGCGATAGAAACTGAGCTAAAATAAGAGTTTGGGGACCTTGGGGATCTTGGCTCCAAGGTCCAGGTACTGCTGTGGGTTCTTCAGGAAGTTGACAAACTCCAGGATCTCCAGTTTGGCCTCCTCGCAGCCGGCCACATCCTTAAACTTCACGCCAGTGCTGTCCTTCATCATTTTGGCTGTTGACTCACTCATGCTAAATGGCCCGCCCCTCCCACCACCAGGGCCTCCTCCCATTGGTCCTCGTCGCAGAGTGAACAACAGAAAACCAATCAGCAGTAGGGTGGGGAGCAAGGTCATCAGAAAAGATCTGCGAGGACAGAGAAGAATAGTTATTATTAAGGTGGTTCAAAGGAAAGAATCCATATTCATGGTAATATTTGCTCTCACAAGAGAGCTTCTTCTTAACCATCTTGTCCATCAGACCAGATATCTATCGCCTAAATCTATTGTTTAAAACATGTCCACAAGTTAAGGTTGACCCACTAATTGGTTCACATAAACTGCTATGGCCCAAATGTAATACTTGGAATTAAAGAAAAGGTTTTTTTTTCAAATATTCAAGGACAAGACTTTTACGTTTTGACAACATCAGAAACTATTTTGGAATGGAAAAGGCACCAGAGAGTAGCGGAGTAGTAGTAACAGTGTTTGTGTACAATACGTTCATAGTTGGTCCTGCAGGACTTCTGCTTTGCTGCCAGGGAAGAAATACGTTCATTTCGAGTCCATAGAGGACAAACTCTGTTACACAGCTAAGAATTACAGCTGCCACAGATGATGAGCTCAAAACAACTGAAGGGAACTGAGAAATGAAAAAAAGGCTAATTGTCAGAGAAAATGCTACTGATGCTTCCACAGTGAGTTTGTGACTGAGAAACAAGAAACAGTTCACTAATGAAATTCCAATGAGTTTCACATCTTACTGTGCATCATGTTTTGCTTAAAAACCAAGAACAGTGCAGTGTCCTTTCAAAATCTGGGTGTTTGGAATGAGTTATGCACTTCTTTCTGAAACCGTAAAAATGACCTATAATTAGGGGTGTATTGATTCCAAAAATCATGGGTTTGATTTAGACCTGGGTTTTTGAGCCACTGCTCTGTTCAAACCTAACCCCAAACACCTGTGAATGTCTGTGTCAGTCCATTATGGTGACATAAAAACAATTATCTAAAATTATCAAAACAATCTGATGGACATATATTATTGGCTGCAGGCCACCAGATGCCAACCACAGTTGCAATTTATCCGAGGAGGACATGTTCAACTTGGTCCACAGGCTGCCTGTACAGGCCTACGGTATAATAAGCGGATGTGGGGGGTGGGGTCCATCCTGTTGAACTCACCCATCGCTCTCAGTGCTGTAGACTACGGTGGCTCGGTGGGACGGCTCCAGGCCGAGCTCCGCGTGCGCCATCTCAAGGTTCCTCTCAAACGTGTCAACACTGCCGATGTTGAACCAAACGTAGCCCTGAACAGATGAGTTCATGTTACTTTTTGATGACGTTGTTATTTATGGCACAATCCAATACCTTTTGATGCCTGACTGATGTGGTTTGTTGTGTAATTAATAAATAGATTAATTAATTTCAATTACACAACATAATAATTCAGATACATGTACAACAAATGGTATTAAAATAATTCAGTTTCATGACCCTCCCGTGCTTTGTTGGTCTCCTTGTTCCACCGGAATCAATTTGATTTCAGATTTGCCAAAATGCAGCAGACATTCACAAATGTAGTCAATTTAATTTTGGGTTAAATTTACATCCCTTGTTCAATGTCAGATTCAGGATACATTTTGTTTCTTCTCACCGCATCAGCATCAGCTCCCGGCACCAGGACGACTCTGACGTACTGTTTGTTGATGACCTCTAACCGGTCCACCTAGTCATAAAAAAAATAGATATATTTATTTATTTCATTTCTTATCTGTGGATTTTCAGAATTGACGTGGATTCTAAATCCTGCCAGGCCTGAAGAGAATAGAGAATCACAGTATAATGGTCACAGAATGCTCCTCACCAGGCCTCTGCCCAGGTATCGATGGACAAAATCCTTCCAGCTTATCTCTCTTCCACTGTCTCTGAAGTAGAAGTAGAGTAGAATTGAACTGATACCAGCCGCGGTGATCGCCATGTAACGGAAATCCTTCTCATCCCACGGGAAGTCACCCTAAAGACACAGGTCTGCATGTTAGTGTTAGAAACAGGTTACAAGCTTCATTCCAGCAGCCTGGCTGGAGCTAATCAATCAATCCATCAATCTCTATTTGTATAGCCCATATTCACAAATCTCAATAGGGCTCATCAAGCCACGACATCCTCTGTCCTCAGAGAGAGCCACATGTGAGGTGTCCGACAACATCAGCAAAATAACCGTATTTACAACACTGATTAGAAGAAACAGTTTGTAACATAATGGAAAGTGTGTCTATGTTTTGCAGTCAGGTAATCTGAATCGGTGACGTCTTCTAAGAACATTCTTATGACATACTTTTATCTGAAAGACTTCCTTGATCTTATCAAGTTTTAATTTCCCTACTTTTAACATACCATATTGGGTATTGTAAAGTTTACTTTGTGAAGTATGATTTTATACCCAAATAAACGTACCTACGGCTATACAGTATTTTTAATTTCAGTTGAAGTACTTGTATTTTCTTCACTGAACAAGTCTCTGAGCATATTGAAAGAATGTATACATAAAATGTGATGGGATTTTGACTTCACAAACCTTCTGCATTCGACTCCACCAGTCTTTTCCTGGACCTCCTCCTCTATTCCCTCCTCCTGATCTTCCTCCACCTCCACCTCCTCCTCCTCCATCTGAAACTCAGATTATCGGTACTATTACACATCTGTAACACCAATCTCCAACCTGGTTTCTATTTCTGTGAATGCTTTGATCCCAGATCTTCTTTCAGTGAAGTAACCAATGTTATTTTTTCAACCGATTAAATAATTTTAAACATAAAGAGCTCAACCTGCAGCCAGAACATATAATAAGAATCAACAGCGTCACATTAAACAGTCTCACAACGCAGAAAATTTCCATATTTTACATCTTTGCTCTCATCTCTCAGTTGACATGTTTACCATCAGTGTTTAAAATGGGTATTTATGTCATTTTGTTAATTTAGTTGTTTGTGCTGCTGTCTTAAAGGGATTAAGCAAAGTTTTTTAGCAAAGTTTAAAGCCTTAAAGTTCACAACCAGAAGTAGCAATGCTAACCCCTTGGGTGAGAGCTTGTGTGCAGTGTGTGTTCTTTACCGGTGGGTGTGTGCGAACGTGAACACCAGAGGACATTTAGACTAAAAAACTAGGGATCGACCGATTATCAGCTGGGGCAATTATCTGCGCCGATTTCCAGCATTTTGGCGCATATCGGCATCGGCCTTTTTTTTAATCCGACGGCCGATCAATTTCAAACCGGTTTACTTTGGCCCTGATGCAGCCCCGCCTCTCTGTCCACAGCACCATCTGATTGGTTACACATAGAGCCATGTAACAGCCAATCAGCAGTGAGAGCTGTGCATGCACACTGCTCAAACACACGGCAGAGAGGAGAAACAGTTCCGACGAGAGGAGAAGCAACGGAGAGCGGATATATGTTTCGAAGGTAAGTTCAGGCAGCAAACTCTCCCGAAATTGTAATAAACATCCCAGCCCTCTACAACTCACAACTACTAGTAACATTACTGTGTTACTGCCCAATAACATTATATTAACATAAGTGGCAGCTCTGCTCACTCGCAGTTCCTCCAGACGGGCTGCTGAACATATCCATATGGAAATAGTCCGTGATGGCAGACGTATGTGTGTGGGTTAGACATCCAGTCCGGTAATAACGGGTCTCTGTGGCTGACGTGAGCTGAAGGTAGCGGGAGTGTATGTTGCGAGTTTAGGGTGCACGTCAGCCAGAGCTGTAGTGTGTGTGTGTATGTGAGTGAGTGAGACTGCTGCCTGCTGAACAGAGGGTCGCTGGGAGAAGGATCTGAAGTGCTTCGGCTACAAAACTCAGCCGAACCGATCCGAAACCAGCCCAAATTTGTATCCACCCGCCTGGCAACCGTGGTCGCGTCTCACTTTCAGCAGTGAGTGACGCTGTGCAAGTGCAACTCCTGCAAGAGCCTTGGAACTCCCTGCACTTTTTGTTAGACATCTTTGTTTTAAAATTCTAAGAAAAAAACCCTTTAACATGTTATCTGAAAATCTGTTTAATAAACATATGCTTAAAGGCATTTACACAAATTTAAGTGTTGGAGTTTGTATTATTCAAAATTTTGACGCAAATATTTTCACTTTTACTGCAAATGAATATCGGCTCCAAATATCGGTTCTCAGCCTCCTTGACTACTAATAATCGCAATCGGCCCTAAAAAACCATATCGGTCTATCACTACTAAAAACATGGTGTAGAGGAGGCTGTTTCGATACGAATAGGAATGTGGGGCCTTACGACACTTGGATGACACCACACGTTTTTTTTTTTAATTGATCACCAGTACTTCAATAGTGGATATATACTGGATTTGGCTGCAACACCATTGACTCCCTGAGACTCCAAAAGTGTTTTGTGGAATCAAACACTTCACCCACCCTTCCATCGGTATAGTGGTTAGTAGATGAGTACGTTTTCATTTCTTCGGTGAACTATCCCTTAAAAGTATATTTGAGTGAATGAACCTGCTGTAAGTGATTGAAAAGCATAGTGAACGATGGTAAACGCAAGCAAGAATATGTATACATTAAAGGGACTGGGAATGTTAAAATTAATGAAAATATATTACTGAAACAAAACCCTTACACTTTAGAAACAATGACTTAAACCATGGTAACTTTTCATAGCAATGTGCAATCCTAATTTGCACAACAGAGATTTGTTAATACCATACAAAGTAATAAAGCTTCTTCCTGATTGTTGTCCGATCAAACAAAATGTAATCTAACATTCACCACAATAAAATGAGTAACAACCATAAATCCTGTGGGTCCATCTTATTTTTCAAGAAGTTTAATAATCAGAAATAAAACTTTTTAAGACATTGCATGATAGTATTTGGATGTACACACTCCACAAGCTGTCTTTGTCTTGGACACAGCAGCTCTTACCTTTGGGTTCACTGGAGTAAAGTCGTCGCTGTGCCGTCTGGAATCTGCGACTGAAGGGGAAGTGAGCTGGAATCCGATAGCCATTCTGCAAAAGACAACAGTGCCATTAGTACAGCTCATCTAGAACTATATATATATATATATATATATATATTTATATGGCTGGACAAACATGACCTATGACAGGTAAACAACCTGTCTCTGAATTTCACTTTTATTTAATAATTAAGATCAGAATTAGCTCATAATTATTGATTCACTGGAGCCAAAGGAAAGTAAATAAAACCTTGTTGTCATTATTTTGTATGCTTTTGGTCTTTGTTCTAGTTGGGGTTACATAAAGCATTTTCTGTTGTTTTGACAAAAAAAACTGTTCATCCTTAAACCACCAAAAAAATTATCCAACTGAAGTGAGTCTCATCACGGCAACTCATAATGTGACTCTGAAATGTGTATTGCCCCCACATGCCCCGAGGCACTCATGACAACGTCTGGGGATGGTGTCCTGGGGGATCTCCTCCCAGACCTGGTTCAGGGCATCAGTGAGCTCCTGGACAGTCTGTGGTGATACTTGCTGAAACCCTCATACACGCCTTCATCACCTCACGTCTGGACTATTGCAATGCCATCCTCCATGGGGTCACCAATAAAACTCTGGACCGGCTTCAGCATGTACAAAACTCAGCTGCCAGGGTTCTCACCCGCACCAAACCTTAGCAGCACATCACCCCTACCCTCAAACATCTGCACTGGCTCCCTTTCAAATATCAGATAACCTCAAACTTCTCCTCCTCACCTACAAATCTCTGCATGCACTTGACCCTCAGTATTTAACCGACCTCCTTCATGTTCACCACCCCTCACGGAACCTGCGGCCTGCTGACCTGGGTCTCCTTACCATCCCCTGCACAAGTAGGCGCACATTTACCCACTGCACCAGCATAAGGACTGACAATTGCTCTGAGGATTTCATCCCAGGTCAGGGTAACGTTAGCTATGACATGGAGGTCTGTACAACTCTCCAAGGATATGCTTCCACAGACCATCACTGACCCACCGCATCTCCAGACTCTTTCACGCCTGTCACATATATTCAGTAAGAACCTGCTCTCATCTGTGAAGAAAACGGGGCACCAGTGGCGGACCTTCCAATTCTGGTGTTCTCTGGCGAATGACAATCAAGCTGCACGATGCTGGGCTGTGAGTACAGGTTCCACTAGAGGACTTAGGGCCCTCGTGCCAACCTCATTGAGTCTGTTTCTGACAGTTTTTGGAAACCTGCAAACCAGTAGCCTGCTAGATGTCATTTTTTAAGGCTCTGGCAGTACTCCTCCTATTCCTCCTCACACAAAGGACCAAATACTGGTTCTGCTGCTGAGTTGATGCCCTTCTATGTCCCTGTCCAGCTCTCCTCATGTAGCAGCTTGTCTCCTGGTATCTCCTCCACGCTCTTGAGATTGTGCTGAGACACGGAAAACCTTCATGCAACCACACATACGGATGTGCCATCCTGGAGGAGCTGGGCTGCCTGTGCAACCTGATCGGGCTGCAGATACCGCCTCATGCTACCAGAAGTGACAAGGGCACTAGCAGAACACAAAACTAGAGAAGAATCAGTCAGGGAGGAGGAGAGAGCAACTGTCTGTGGCCAGCACGTTTAAAACCATTCCCTTTTTTGGGTTGTCTTGCTTTTGCCTCCATTGCACCTGTTGTCACTTTCATTTGCACAAAAGCAAGACGAATTGATTCTACATCACTTGTACTCCCTAAATGGACAGGGGCTACGTATTACAATAATTGTATTATTTTGAGTTAATGTCAAAATTTTAGTTTTTTAATTTACAAAAGTCCAAGGTCATTTATTTCAGTAATTTATTTTTTTGACCAGCACTCCAACATCCAAAAAGTCATTTAATATCATATGTGGCCAAGAGTGAAGGTATCCAAAATACTTAGCTGCTTTTATTAAAGAAGGTAAAACCAAGAAATAAGCAACAAAATCCACAAAGTGCTGGACTGTGATACTAGCACTCATCAGGATGTTAGAGGACCTGAGGCTTGTTTGGACACTGTATGTTGTGAAATTGCATCTTCAACCAACAAAATACTTTATATTGACCCGACCGTGACAAAGAGTGTGTGTGTGTGTGTGTGTACTACTATTTTGAATATAAACCGTTTTTGGAAAGTGAGGACATTTAGGTCCTCACATTTTTAAAGGGCAGTGTGAGGGTTTACACTTGCATGATTTAGGATTAGTTATGGTTATACAAGTATAAAGTGTGTGCTAATGATTAGCTACTCATAGCTACTTTTTCTGTCAACACTGGTGTAGATTGCTTTGGTATCACATCCCAGCTAAAATACTGTTGTACGTAGTAGTAGTAGTAGTAGTAGTAGTAAAACTACAAGAGACAGATACTAAAAAGTCGCCTTTAAAAGAAAGCTAACTCTTACGTCACCTTATGTCGCAGCATTAAGGTCAGCTAAAAGCGAGCAGTGTCTTCACATAGAAAACATCCGATTCTTCTGGTAACAACCGCTTTCTGATGAATCAGACTTATGCCGAATGGAAGACTAGGTTTTAGAAAAGGCATTAGGTCGTAAATTGTTTCATTAAAGTGCATCATATTGTTCTCAGAAACAAGCGTACACTGAACGGAATGGTTTTGTAATGAGATTCGGCAGCACGCATTCAAACGTGCTACATTTCCCTCATTAAATCTAACTCCATGCCCGTGACGAGGACATTTGACTGCGGTATTTTGGGTCGTTTTTCACTCAACATGTCCTCCTGCGATCCTCCAGCTTCACTTACCAGGGCAGCGGAGCTCCGATATGCGGCTGTGAAGAGCCGTCCTGCGCACACCGCGGAGAGCCGAGCCCGGGCTCCTCCAGGCCGGCAGAGAGGCAGAGCGACTGCCGAGAGGAGCCTCAGCACTTGAGACATCCTCCGTCTGTCGCCTGCCCAGCCTCTCAGTCAAAACCACCGCGGATCTGTTGGTTTAATTCCGGGCAGGTCGCTGCACCGTGTCGCTGCTGCTAACGTTATTGAACAAGAGCACCAGCATGAAATGTCAACGGGATCACACGACGATGATGTAAAGGCCCACGGGACCGTCTCTGCATATGCCTGTCTGAAATAATTGTGAGAATACGTGTTTTTTTGCAATTGAAAATTTATTTTCAATCACGAAATGCTATTTTACTACTAGATAAAACACTTAACTGACACGGTTTACGTAAACGCATGTACTTTGTTTAAATATGACTTCATTACATTCAGGAATGAGATGGACTACCACTGAGTGCCAGCCACAGTACACCTTGACTCTGATTGGCTGAGACAGAAAAGTTCTCCAATGCTTGTTTGTGTAACTTTTACCAAAACATGAGGTAACACTTTTATTCTGACATGTTAAAGGTCCAGTGTGTAGGATTTAGGTGTAAGGGATCTATTGGCAGATATTTAATGGAGAATAATCCCCATGATGTTTTCACTAGTTCATTTCATCTAAATTGTATGAGTTGTGGTTTTCTTTATCCCAGAAAAGGTCCTTTATATTTAAATACTTTATATTTACATTGAGGGGACCCTCTCTATGGAGGCCGCCATGTTTTTACATCCATCCAGACTGGACAAACTAAACACCTTTTGAGTTTTTATGACAATTAAAGGCTACCACAGGTTCTTTTTCACTGTTGGAAGGAGAGGGTGAAGTGAGGGGTGTTCAGCTGCAACATGCAATTTCAACACTAGATATCACTAAATTCTACACACTGAACCTTTAAAATGTTATTAGAAACTGGCACCACTGAAATACTCAATATTCATCTGCAAGAGGTTCTCCATCCTCCATCTTGTTTTCATGTGTGACACCACACACACAGTCACATTAAAACAGGACCTTACATGTTTATATTTTGCTCATTTGTTGTATTTCAAGAAACCTCTTCCGCTATTTCTTTGGGTAAAACATTTATCATTTATCACTTTTGTGCAAGGCCATATTATTCCATCACAGGAGAAATGTAAACCTCTATTGACTGATTAAGTGGTCAGTGTGTGAGAAGTCAGAAAACAGTAAAAATGTCAATAGTAAATTTACTGAAGCCCATGTTAGCATTTTCTAATTGGATCTTTGTCTGACCGACAGTCCAAAACACAAAGATCTTGTATATCAAAGAAAACAAGGGAACTGCCATAATTCACAGACCAATCGTATTATTGATCTATTAACTTTAAATTTAACTGATAATTTTAGCCCTAGGGTCCAACTTGATTTCTTGGTGGGCAGGGGAAAAAAATTACACAGTAGTGGAGTAAAGACTAAATCATATTTAACAGACTTACGGAGATAAAATATTGAAAATGTATGTAACAATATGAAATATAAATGGACAACTCTACACTTGATTACAATTTCAGTCTAGCTTGCAATAAACAGTTAATATTAATTTGCTGATTATTTCTGTGAGTAATCATTTGAACCTCAATGTCAGTTGCATCACATTTTTTTACTCAATCAAACTTTTAATTTCAATAAGAAATGGCTGGGTGTAGGGTGTTGAAGCTGCAGCTCTGTCCTCTGAGCTCTGCTTTGGAGCTGCCAGTGCTCTTGTAGTTTTTGGAACAATCTGTCACTGAAGAGGGAAAATGTTTTGTTTGGTTTCCTGACCAAAACAAAAATAATAACTTCTACTCTGGTGAATGAAATTAAAAACTGTATCTCGTGCACACTGGGAGTAGAAAAGCTGTCAATTGTAACATAGTAGGCTTTGTCTGCTGATGTTTCCATGTAAACATGTGCCTTGTTGGTAAAGTGTAGCCTTCCAACTGTATAACTCTAATTTATTTTCTTGTTTTTTTGTTTTAATGTAAAATATATGTTACATGGCCCTGACCTTGTTCTGTCTGCTGTTGTACACTCTTGTCGACTTTATAGAGACAATTTAAAGAGTGGAAAGTTCCCTCTCAGCTTCCTCTGTAGGTGCTGTAGGAGAACCGACTCATCAACAGTGGAATGTGGAACCTCTGCTGCGGCTCAGTGATGGTGAACACAACCTGAAAACACACAAACAGGTATTGATAGCAAAAATACAAACAAAGACTCACAGAACTATTTGCGCTTCTAACACGTGACAGAGGCAAAAAAACGAAAAGTGTGAAAGGTAAATTGCGGGTAAACTCCGGAAACCAATTCTTTGGACTTTACTCGCAGGTCATGTCTGAAAACGGCTTATGATAAATGGATCCTCTGTGAGTTGTGTCTGTTTGTACTCGGTTTGTACTTATAATAACTTAATTTAACAATAACATGTGTTTATGTAAGTGAAATCCTGAAACTCACCTCTACATATGGATAGAAGGAGGTCTGACCCAGACTCTCCCAGTATGAACCGGTCTCAAAGCGCAGCTTGTACATGCCGGAGGTGAAAGCTTCAGGGCTGATTAGTCCTGGGCAGCGGCCATCTTCATTTGTTGTCCTACAAACCATCAAACTGCTGAGTCATGAAGGTTGATTGATACTCAGAAGGTTGTTTGAAACTCAGAAACTCTCATTAAACAAAGAAAGCTTTCGCCTGCCTTTAGTCGCTCAGTTTTTTTATATATCTTGACAAACAACACATGGCACAATGTTAATAATGATATTTAACTTCCTGAAACACAAGATTTAGTGTCAGGGTCATTCCCCTGCCCTGTGGACATTGAATCCCTGTAAATCTGCTGTGTTCTATGATACATGCTGTCACTTAGAAGGTTAACAATGACTACTACTGTAAATGCTGTAAAACCCCTTCATCTCCAGTTATTAAGTAAACATTGATGATGAATTACAAATTTGATTAGAGGTTTAATTGTCTTTCACAAAATAACAGTTCTGCTGTTAACAGTTTACTTCAATTCAGTTTCAGCATCGCCGGTTCAAACCCTACCCGACACTCAGCATGTTCCAAATCATCAGCTCGGAGTTGAGGCGATGCAGGCTGATCGCCATCTTGGTTGCGGGGATGCCATCTCCAGTGTTCAGCACGTGAGTAGTCAGAGGGTTAGATGCTGCCATCAGCTGTCAGAGAGGTGTGGACAGGTCAGCCTTACCTGTATGTTGCTTTCTGTCTGTCAATGGATTTGATTGATTTCTCCTTACTGGATAATTGCAGCGTTTGCAGGGCTGTGATTCATTTACATGCACACTAATATTTCACTATCTGACAAAATTCATGAAAATGTTGCAGGTCCTGTGAACAGCATATTTTTTACGAGGACAATTTTTATGTCTGTTGCACGTTTATGGTCAGTGCTGTGTTTTAAAGTCTATGGTTGCACAAAGCAACAGGACAAAAGAGTCTGTTCATATGCAAAGCTAGGTGATTATAAATTCAAACGCGGCAGCTTTTCTGTGATGTCAAATTTATACTAAACTAATCAACACAATGAGTTTCTTAATAAATCCCTGATAATATGAAACCCCTCTAGATAAGAATTGTAGGATAATTATTTTTTACATGGGTAGCAACGCTTAAATAGCCTGGTTGTTAAAGGGCTCTTTTTATAAACTGTTTCAGTTCTGAGGATCTCTGAGGATCACATGAGGGAAAATACAAGAGGAAACAGAAAAGAGACAAAATTTCTACAATGCAAATAAATTAATACTATGCTAAAATATACCTTATACAAAATTCACAATTGCACATATTTAAATCATGTTGGAAATGATTTAATCTATTTTGAAACTTCACAGAAAATCAATGTTTGACAAGCACAATAAAGCTCTGTGCTTCTCAGTCAAACAAACAAGTCCAGGGACTTTAACATTTGGCCCTTTACTTCCACTGACCTCCACACAAAAATCTCATGATCCAGCATTTAGCCAACACAGAATCATCATGTTTTTGTTCTTTCAAGAGGAGCTGCTTTCTATCTGCTCTGCATATGAAGAGGAAGATGGTTCTCAACTTAAAGACTAATCAACCCTGAACTTTTTGTTCCCTGCAGAAAATTTTTAGTCTTCAGAACACTATAATATGCAATGAATAACAATAAAATGTCAATGCATCAATGTGAAACAGAGAAACCCTAAAGTCTGAGTGAGGGAGACTCACCTCTGCAGTGTGCTCCTCTCTGCTGCAGCGAATTCAGTCACTCCCCCAAACTCATCCAACCAGTTCTAGCAACCAGTTGCACAAGCCCACTGGTCAGAGACACTCACCCAGCATGCACTGCAAACAGACCTCAAAGGTTGTCCTCAGTCAAATAAATCATTAAAACCTAAGAGGGAGTTTTCCTTTAGTCCATAGCATGTGATTAACTCACTCATGATGATTAACTGATTTAATTAAGAATGTGTAACAGACAGTCTGAGTCAAGTTATTCTTTAATTACAGTCCTGTCATATAATTTTGACTTTACTTCATAGTCAGCAGCATTGCTGTTCAATATTTCAATATTCACCTCTACTGAGGGGGGTATGTTTTCATAATGCTGAACTGATTTTATTCAAACTTGAAAATGGTTGAGATGGGTGAGATGAGCCAAAGAGGGCCAACTCACTTTGAGAGCAGATTCAATTAGGGGGTCGGATCAAGGAGTATTTTTTCTCTTTCTTTAAAATTGTGGTGGTGGAACGGTTTTCTACATTTTCCTGAAATTCGCAAAAGTAATTTAGAGATCTTGATGAAAAAAAATCAGTTTCACTTGGAGGACTGATATCTACACCTGTGCATCTCAATTGAATTTAAGGGGACTATTGGGCCTTGGCGGATAAATATACTCCCCTGAGTGTCATTAATGTGCTTTGACATCTCTGAATCTTCACAGTAGTATTTTCTTTTTTACTCTTCACATATCCTCATGTATATATATATATATATGCATATACTGTCTATTGGACATAAGGCATTACACCATGGTTTTGCATTTATCACATTAATACTGTTGCAAATGCAAAGATATGAAGGGGCACATCTTTGCGCGTCTACCTACTCATTCTTCTTCCTCCACCAGCCGCTTTGAGCAAGAAACTAAACTCCCACGAAACACTAAGGAGAACACTCAGTGTCTGAATCTGACCTCACTTTGAAAAAGGAGAGGAACTATTGCTGTATGTTAACCAACAAGGCCAAGGGTGAGGCAGCTCCCCCTCTAACGCTGTGTCGGGGGATGGGCGTCACTGAAATGCGTTCCACCTTTTCTTCCTTTCATGTTTGACACCCTGACATTTAATGTCCTTGTTCCAAACCAGCATGCAAGGATGCTTCTACCAGATCTTCCTGTTGGAGGGGCCGACCTGATGATGATCAGGCACATGTGGCGGCAGGAGAAGCTCGGGCCAGTATGAGGTGCTACAGCAGCCAGGACTGGCACACTCTCAACCAGCTGAGCCAGTGTTTGCTTAGGCTCTCACTGGCGGAGAGTTACACCACAGTGCCAAAGTACAGGTAATAACAACCACCAGATTGAATTATATTCTGTGTGTTTTGTCACACTGAAGAACTGAATAGAGTCAGTTAGACTCTGGTCAGAGATTCACTCCAGTCTGAAAATATTGGAGACATGGAGACAAACAGAAGCTACTGTAATGACGACCAACTGTTCTTGGGGACAGGTATCAGTACACACAGACGGACTGGGTCGCGTAGGATTTCCCCAATGACCCCGACAACCCGGACAAGAGTGAGGAGCTGGATCTGGATGAGGAGGATGGTGGAGAGCAGAGGGATGGCATGGAGGATGTTCGGTGGGTTGTTGGACTGGTTGGATCCCTGCGAGCAGCCACAGCCCCAAGCCTCCTCCCAGGGTGATGCCGTCAGCAGCTCAATAGTTCGTTCAGCTCAGGCTTTTTGACGACGCATTTCAGGTTGATCATGTTGTTGTTGTTTGATGTTAAGAATGGATGTGTTGTGTCTTTTTTCTGTTCATCACAGGAGAGTGATGGCCCTGACTTTGCTCCTGGTTACCAGCATGTTGTCCGGCTGGCCCACTGTCTCATGAAACACTACACCAAGGGCTACGTCAGCACTGGTCCCTGGTTTTGAGGGACTACAACCCCATACGAGACGCAGTCTGCTCCCGTCCAGCACTCACAACCAGGACAAGCATCCAGCTGGAACCAGAACACCATCTCTCACTGGTGAGACTCTTCTTTCTACACAGTTTATTCACAGATTCAGACCATTATCGTCCTCACAAGCTGCTGACACTTTAACGTCATGATGTCCAATGTCCAACACAACTGTGGCTGTATTGGAGGCTGTACGCAGCTATTCCGGCAGGGGTCGCTGTAGCCACGACTCTGGATCATCGGTCTCTGTTTACGGAAGTCCTCGTGACGTGTCACTGTGCACCGGAGCATTGTGGGAAGGGAAGTGGCTCTGACGGCATCTGATGACAGGCTGCTCAACCTGCCAGAGACCCTCGATCAGCCAGCGCTCTTATAAAACACACATCTGTCGGGACGATGCTGCTTCGCGGAGCCGGTGTGAACGCGCCGTGACCGGGGCGAACATGTGCCGCTGTCAGCGCCGCTAAGCCGCGGACGGGCGCCCGAAAGCAGAGAAGTGGGACACTGTGTCAATGGACCGCGGCGTCTCTCGTTTTCTCGCTCCAGGGAGAGAAATAATATAACGAAGCGACGGATTATAATTCCCCCGCCGTGGATGGGCGGTGGGGGGGCGACTGCTCTCCCGCATTCACTCGTCGTGTGAAGTTTCTCGAGATCCAGTGTCGAAGGCGCCGCCGACAAAGATGTCGACCAGCAGCCCCGAGGCGGTGAAGAAGCTGCTGGAGAACATGCAGACGGACCTTCGCTCCCTGTCCATGGAGTGCAAGAAGAAATTCCCCCCCGTCAAAGAGGTTAGCCCCCGGCTAGTTAGCCGCACCGAGCCGTTACCTCCGTGCAGCGCCGTCGGTGTCGTTTGTGAATTTGACGTGAGACACGTATTCATGTGGGTTTGACACGGTGTGTAGTTGAGCGGCTCTTGTCTCGTCGCTAGGCCTCTGGATGTGGACACCGAGCTGTCCGCTCACCGTGGGGGGGGAATTAAAAGTTATATCCGCCGCTGCTCCTTCTGACCCACCAGGGCTTCTAGTTAAACAACATACCGGAGTTTTAATGGCCTGTATCACACGGTGTAGTTATGATGTCAGACTGGAGCCTCCAGAGAGCAGGGACACACAGGACCTCAGCTGACTCACGTTTGATCAACATTACAACTTGGTGAACTACGAGCTATGTTGAATGTAAATATGCTTCTGCCATTATGGAAAATGACTTGGTTAGTGCAGTTGTTAAAGGTATTATCCACCTTAATTACCCAAAGGGAAAAAAGACCACACCTACTGCTTAATATTATTGTCAGAGACCATGATGCTAATGTAGATAAACCAAACATGTAATCCTGACTTGTGTCTCCATATGAAATAGTGTATAGTGGGTTTTATTCATGTAGTTGAAAGTCTGGCAGTTTCCATCACATTATTTTCTGTTAACTTTATTGGCATGACTTTTACATGCGTTGCAATAGCACAAAGACAATATTGGAGACAATCATTGGATCATAGTAAAGATACCAGCCAGTCGATCATTAGACAACAGTAGCTTGCAGCTTTATTTCCCACTTTGCAATTATTTATTGCAACAGACTGGAGTCAGGTGGAGTCACATCATTGTGGAGCCTGAGAAATTAGAAATGATTCAGCCCATCGTGATCTTTGCTTAAGTAAGATATACACATACTGTTTATGTGCATGTACACAAGGTCTGTTATTCATTCTGATTTTGGATTATTTTGGTATCGTCTCTCGATGTTGCTGTTATCTTCCACTGCTTTGGGTACTTCAGACCTGTTTTCATTTAACCTCATTATATTTGAGTGCCTGCAGAAATCAGAGGTTAATACCTCAGAACTTCCCCAGCTAGGTCCAAAACAATAATCACTGTTGGATCAATGCCTTTAGTGAGAATTGTTCTTGTTATTTGTGAGAACCAGATCTTTTACTTTTTTTTAGTGTAATACTGTGGCAGTGCAGCATTGATTTCTCAAGACAGATTTCAATTCGGTTATTGTAGGAAACTTTATTGTTTCTGATTTCTGTTTTAAACAAGCTATGCTTAGCCTAAAGGGCTTTATCAATGATCTCATGTTGCACATTGTGCCTGTATTGATAGAACTTAGAGCTATGTCAGACTAGTGTTTTGTTTAATTTATTCATTCATCATAGTGAGTTACTGTTTGTGTGAGCTCACTGGCTTCCTTGTGTAGCAGTGCTGGTGACGTTTCTCCTGACTTCCTGGCTTAGTGAGCACAGAGTGGTCAGAGATTGACCGATGCAATGTCTTTTATAACATATATATGTGTCTTGTTAAGAGTCACAGTAAACCCAGCTTTTATGACACCTCTTTAACTCAGTCAACACAACCCTCTTTATTATGTGCTCGGCTTACAGCTGCTTCCACAGGGCTGGGTCAGAGTTGATTTACATCTGGAATTTTTTTCATTACCCATTAATTTAAATACTTTAAGATAGATGAATGTATGTATACACCTCCTTTCACTTTTTATTGCTTGGTAGATTGATATTTGCGTTTCCAAAACATAAGGCTGCTGTTCTCTCATTTTCTTTGCACTGAAATGCACACAAGGTATAGCTTGTTTGCCAAAGTTATGCAATTCAACCGACACCATCTCAGCCAGAGCCTCTTTACCTTAATTCCCTGTAATTCCCATGTATAGCCAGCTCACTGTTAGCTTGCCTATATGTAAGAGAGTTCACACATCAACCGCCAGCGTGGTTTGTTTTCTCTCAGGTCTCAACCTTGGATAAAGATAATATTAAAAATGAGAGAAATACCTCAGCTAATGCTCCCTGTTCCTTGACTTGAGAGCTTCGAAATGAGGTGTCACAAAGAACCATAAAAAGCACACAGCTGGTCTCACGTCAGAAGGCTGTTTGCTGGCCCTTGCTTGGAGCCCTTAGGAAACATCTTCTTTAAATATCGATTTATCATCACCCAGGTCTTCTGGTCCTTACAAGCATCTCTCCCTCAGGGCTCACAGGAGTGCAGCGAACCACTTTGATTTCCCCCCCACACTTGGTTGATAGTGTTGTGTGATTGGAACGTCCTTTTTCCAATTTAGGCCATCATGATAATATATTAGCTTGGCTGTTACCCCAGCAAAACAAGCCGAGGATCACCAGCTGTTGCTTGAATTGGAATTATTTGTACAGCTGTTACAAAACAACCTTGTGGTCCTCAT